ACTTTAGACCCAGAGAGGGAGAGGGGCTGATGCTGATGACCAGGGGGCAGGCTTGTAGTGTATTCCCTTTGGTTGGTTGATGATGCATGGAGGGGATTGTAACTGTGGCAATGAAACAATATAGGATACGATGAATTTGTAAACCTAATGTTCTCCCTTGTAAATTATCACATAATTCACAATAAAACATTAAACAAAAAAGTTTTGAATATGTCAGTAAGTATAAACAAAAGATCAGTGTATATGTGCCAAACATGATAAAGGTTATTATCTCTGGCTGTGGGATTACTTATGTTATTGTTGTTTTTGTATCTTTGTGCTTTTTTGTGTTCTCCAAATATTCTGCATATATATTACTTCTGAAATTAAACCAAAAAACAACAGATGCTTAAAAAAAAAAAAAAAGCTCTGATACAACTTTCTTAGTAGTCCTGGTGTGGCACACGGTAAGCACTGGACTGCAAGGTCAATTTCAACCACAAGGACAGCAGTTTAAATTCACTGGCCGTTCCTCGGAAACCTTATAAAGGGTTTCTGTGAGTCAGAATTAACTGGACAGCACTTAACAACTACAACATTGTATAGTTAAGAAGTTTTAAAAGAGAATTGGTAATAAAATAAATCGGGCTGCTAATCTCAGGGTCAGTAGTTTGAAACTACCAGCTGTTCCTCAGGAGAAAGGTGAGGTTTTCTGCTCCCATAAAGATGTACAGCCTCGGAAACCCTGTACAAGGTCGCTGGGAGTCAGAACCTACTCCGCAGCACATAACAGAAGTACAAATTTAAATACAACCATTTAGAAAGGTAACTTTTTAGCTAGGAAAATGCATAAAAGATAATACCCCTTGAAAGTGGGTGGTGACAGAAAATTGTGTTAACTGCTATCAAGTCACTTCCAACTCATAGCAACATAGCAGCTGGTAAGTTTGAACTGCCGGCCTTTCCGTCCAGTGCTTATTTACAGAGCCACACCAGAATTCTAAACTATAAACTTGGCTTTATTCATTACTTTTGTTGATCTTTCCACTTCAACTATTTTGAAAACAAAACCAATGAATAAAGGAAGCTTATATAATTAGCATAATGGTTGCAAATAGGGCTGTTCGAAACTACCAGCTATTCTGTGGGAGAAAGATGAGGCTTTCTGCTCCTATAAAGATTTACAGCCTTAGAAACACTACAGGGTCGCTATGAGTCGGACCCAACTCCATGGCACCTCACCACCACCGTTGTTGCTAAGTGCCATAGAGTTGGTTCTGATGCCTAGTAACTCTATACGGCTTCTGAGGCTCTAAATCTTTGCAGGAACAGAAAGCCGCGCCATCCTCCTGCGTAGCAGCTTTTGTGGACTCAAGCCACCAACCTTGTGATTTTGCAGTCCAGTGCTTATGCTATGAAGCCACTGCACTCCCCATATAATTATACGGTATATAGTTTTGTGTTGTCTTGGCGTACGTCTTTGTGGACTTTGTCATTTTGAATAACGTAAACACCCTCTTCTAAAGTGAAACTCTATTGGTTGTGACAGAGATAGCGTTGGAGTAGCTTGACAGGGTAGTAAACAAGCACACTCATAAATAAACTAATTGTAAATTGTAATTGCAATGAAAGAAAACCCCAGAGTTCTGAAATGGAGAATGATAAAGTACCAGTTGAGGGTGTGGCACTATTGTAGATTGATGTTCAGAGAGATTTTATATATCTAATGTGATCTAAAAACTGCAAAGCAGCAGCTAACAGAGCAGAGTTAAGTACCATGGAGTCAGTTCTGACCCATAGCGACCCTGTACAGGGTTTCCAAGGCTGTAAATCTTTACGGGAGCAGAAAGCCTCATCTTTGTCCCGCAGAACCGCTGGTAGTTTCAAACTGCTGACCTGTGGTTCGCAGCCCATAACCTCTACGCTACCAGAGCTCCTACCAGGGGCAGTGTAGGGATGAGTATTTCAGAGGAACTGCAGGATATAAAGGCTTCAGCTA